CAAGAAGGTGAGCAGGTGGTTGGAGAACGACACTTATCCTTACAACTGCCCCTCTCGTCAGGAGGCCGTGGCAAGCTTGGTATATATGTATGTGAAAGTAAATGAAGAGGGAAAGTGGGCAGTTTTCATAGGTGACATAGAATAAGAGACAGAGAGAGCTGAGCTCTGGGAGGGGTTCTGTAAGCTAGCATGGCTGCCTCCCTCTCTGATCTGATGTGGGACACTAGATTTGGGGGTCTGTGGGAGTGATTAAGCTGTGCCTTTCCTTCTACCCAAAAGCCACTGCCTAGAAGCCCCACAAACCTCCAGTGAGCATCTTCTGGGGGAAACCAGACTCAGGCAAATGCTGCAGCCCAGGAACTCCTCACCCCTTGAAGACATAGGTCCAATAAAACACAGGGACATCAGTATCAGCAGTGTGCAATTTAACAAATGTATAGGTATGCTAACTTCAGGTGTGCATTTGCAGTTATATTATGAAAAAAAGGACTTGCCTACATAAATTATATATATTGTTTCATTTTTACTGCCTGTTAGCTTTGGGAAAGGAACCTGATATGATGACAATCCTGTTTGAGAAAAAGCAGTTGGGATTCATCCCCCCAGTCTATCCCTGTGATTTGACATATTTTAACAGATTAATCTATTAATTTAATTATTTACTCTAGTTATACAATAGATTTTAAGCAAGGTTTCCTTTTTGTCAGGTTTCCCTCTCCTATACACCCCCTTTACTTTTGCTTCAGCATTTGACTTCCATGGTTTTCCTCTGTTTCTTGTATTGCCACTTTGCAGAAGTCGTGGCTGATAAAGTTAGAGCCTCTTTTAATGTCCTACTGTGAGCACAATCTAGGGCCCACAACATGGCCATTTGGCTTGCCCAGATTTGGCTTGTCAAGATGGTCACCCACCTTTGAGCAGACTGTCTGCAGGCACAAATCTGCCCCAGACAGACTCCTTCTGAACTTCCACAGATTTCTGGTTGCAGATTTTTGCAGTGTTATGAAACCTACAATACTATTTTGACTAGAAATGAATGCATGACAAAAGAAATGAATCATGACCACCCAAAGCTATGTTTCTAAAATACTACTGCTTTTTAATCTCTGAAAAACGCCTGTCTCCAGCCAAACACTCTGCTACTGTCATGGGCTGATGCCAGGATCTAGCACAGCCTTCTGCAACCTGTTGTCTTACAGATGTTGTTGGACTCCACCTCCCATCCTCCCTGATCATTGGCCATGCTGGTTAGGGCTAATGGGTATTGGAGTCCAACAGCATCTGGAAGGCACCAGATGACAGGCACCAGGTTGAGGGAGGTGGTTTGTGAGCTTCTAAACCAAGACGGTGGCTGGTGCCCATTAGGACTGGGGAGGCAAAGACCAACAGGAGGTGGAACCAGAGCCAATGGCAGACAAAGTCAACTAATTCTAGTTTTGTCTCGTCCGCTTCCCTGCTGAGGAGGAAGCAGTGCCATCTCCTGGACTGGTCATAAGTAAAAAGACAGGTGGATGGAGCCTGGGCAAGGGACAGACTGAGGGGGTGGAGCAGGAACCGGGGAAGAGCATTCAAATAGTCACTCGGCCATCAAGCTCATTGGGTGACGCTGGGCCACTCACAGTCTCTCAGCCTAACATACCTCACAGGGTTGTTGTGAGGATAAAAATGGGGAGGACAACCATGTACACCACCTTGAGCTCATTGGAGGAAAGGTGGGGTAGAAATGTAATAAATAAATAAATAAATAAATTTATAAATGCCATGGATGTAATAAATAATTAAGCTATGCATATTTGTATGTCAATTATAATAAGCTAAGTTCAATTATTTCAACTCTAGCACCATAAGTTTAAGAACTGCCTGCTCTTTCCAAAGAGGTTCTGAAATCTGTGATAATGGAAGGATAGTAAAAAACACTGACAAATACTTAAACATGGACTTTTGGGGGAGGGGACAGCAGCTATGTTGCACTTCATGTTTTTCTGTTCTTCAGAGCAGAAGCATATCACCCGGTAGAACAAGTTGTCCCTGATAGGCAGCTCAACAACATGATCTGCAGAATATCAAGAGCGGCCAATCCATGTGGGAACATTGTAGATCCTCCTGAAAAGGTTTGCTAACAAGGAAACAAATGCTCTGGAGTGCTGCTGTAATATCTTCAATGAACTGTAAAATAATGCAAGTGAGGGAAAAAATTCCCAAGACCTTGAAAACACATCAAGCGTATACACGATTATATGCTACTTATTTACACAAAACCACATGTTTATTCATTTGCATGATATTTATTTATACTGAATTTATCCACAGTACACAAACATTTTCTTTCCTGTTGGTTTGTGAGGGCAAGGCACAAATCACCAGATTCAGAGAGTGTTCACAAATGCTTCTTGAATAGAGCAGCAGCCAGGCAGTTGCATCAATGAAAGGCTGTAGCTCACTGGTAGAGCATCTGCCTTGAATGCATAAGGTCACAGAATCATAGAACTGTAGAGCTGGAAGGGACCCCAAGGGGCATCTAGTCCAACCCCCTGCAATGCAGGAATCTAAACTAAAGCATCTATAACAGATGGTCATTCAACCTCTGCTTAAAAACCTTCAGGGAAGGAGAATCCACAACCTCCCAAAGCAGACCATTCCACTGGTGAACAGCTCTTACTGTCAGAAAGGTCTTCCTGGTGTTCACTTCTTGTAACTTGGATCCATTGGTTTGAGTCCTACTCTCCAGAGCAGCAGAAAACAAGTTTGCTCCATGTGACAGCCCTTGAGATACTTGACAATGGCTAGCATATCTCCTCTTAGTCTCCTTTTCTCTAGGCTAAACATACCCAGCTCCTTCAATTATTCCCCATGAGGCATGGTTTCCAGACCCTTGATAATCTTGGTTGCCCTGCTGTGTACATGCTCCAGCTTGTCAACATCCTTCCTAAACTGTGGTGCCAATTGTGGAATTGGACACAGTATTCCAGGTGTGGTCTGACTAAGGCAGAATAGATTTTGTGGTACGGTACTATTGCTTCCCTTGATCTGACCACTATACTTCTGTTGATGCAGGCTAGGATAGCATTAAGTTATAATGGACAAAATCATCCACCACCTTAAGCATGTGGTCACCTTTGTTGATGCATAGAGTGCTGGCAACGTCCTGACCCAGGGTGTTGATCTTTGTCAGGCTGATGGTAAGGCTGAATTCCTTGCATGCTTGGGCAAAACATTTGATGAGTCTCTGTAGAGCTTCCTCAGAGTGCACCATCAAGGCTGCGTCATCTGCAAACAACATATAGCAGATAACGACCCAACACATTTTCTTCTTGGAATGGAGACGTGTCAGGTTGAAGTGCTCATCTTCAGTTGAGCCGAAGGCATATGGGAGCAACAGGGAGAAGAATATGCCAAAGAGAGTTGGGCAGGGACGCGGACTTATAAAAAATATTGGGGGGGCCCGGGAAAGCTCATGAATAATAAATAAGCTCATGAATATGCAAATAAAGTGGCGTCGCCTCCTCGTGAGCGAATAGGGGAGAGCGTGCTGCGCCTATTAATCAGCTCCAAAGGAAATTGGGTGGAGCTTTTGCTCGGGAGGGAGGGCAGGAGGCATGCAGCCCGCCCCTCCCTGTGCATTTTGGGCTGGGGGAGGGGCGGCGATGGCGCTCTGCTGGAGGGGCGCCGGAGATTATTGGGGGGGCGGAGCCCCCCCAAACGAATTTTTGAGGGGGCTCGGGCCCCCTCAAGCCCCATGGAGTCGGCGCCTATGGAGTTGGGGCAAGTCAGGCTTCTGTAAAAATAGTGAAATAGCCACAATTTTCATTGGTGGGTTATAGGTGATGAAGCCTTGGTGGTGAAGGGGCCTGGTCAGTGTGTGCATTGCACAATGTGGCACATTGCATAATATTATTGGGCTACCAGGACCATGGACTACAACTGATCGTTGGCTGGGGCTGTTCTACACCAACCAAAGTTAGTAGAATAGAAATAGTGCCGTTCTTTATATGTCTGATAAATGGAATTACAGAATCACAATGAACATTATGGACCAAGTCCATGACAGATGCATACTGATATTCCAAAGAAAATTCAAAATATGGAGAAACAGTGTTTCCTGCTGTCTTTCTTTACTTGGCAATGCAAAAGTTAGGCTTTTGGCAGCATCTTGAGCTATTTATAACCATATACTTGACTTGCCCAGTTAGTAAAACAGGAATATGTAATTGGCTGTAAAGAGAAAGTGCCACTTTGCTAAATGAAAAACTTATTTCCATGTAGGAATTTGTATACCGCTCATGTGGACGTCCTTTGGCGTGTGCACTTTTGGCATGCACATTCAGAAATGTTCACAGACATGTGCAAGGCCTACACAAACAACAACGTACAAAAAAGACTTGCACAGTCTCCTACACAGAAGTAGGTTCTGTATAGAAAAAAAAAGTAAAATGCAAAGTGTCCCTAATGCTTTACTGTTTGGTCAGGACGTTGTAATGAAAACCAACAACCCATCAAAATGAAACAGATAGTTCCTCATTTGAACGCTGCAATCTTCAGCATGCAGTACTTACAGAGTAGTGCCATTGAAACCCAAAGGGTTTACTTATGAGCAAACATGGTAAACTTTGGATTGCAAGGAAAATATTTGGCAAACTCGAGTTTCTACTCCCTGACGAGGAAGCAACAGGTGACTAAGAAAGAATACATTAAAAGAACCCGAAAAGTTATGCGGCACCCTCATTCTTAAATCGCCACCTTTCCCCCAGAACAGAAGCCTCCGGCGACCCATCCCAGCCCTCGGCTTCTCCTGCCTGCGCAGCAACTCTGGACGCGGCAGCGAGAGCTCGGCTCCTTCTCTCCCCATTCGCTGCAGATCTCTGCATTCCCACTTGGTCCTCCTCACTTTTGGGCGCTGTCCATGGTGCAGCAATTGCCTGCGTGACGTCAGGCCGCCTGAGCGCCTCGCCCATTGGCGGAGGAGCTCGGCCGGCCTGTGAAATCGCGCGAACTCTTCTTCCCCGGGCTCCCGCCTCCGCGCCCCGGGCGCCGAGTCCCGCTGCGCGTCAAGAGGGAGAGCCGGCAGCGGGCTGCTCTGCCGGGAGCCGGAGCCGGAGCCGAAGAGGCAGCTGCAGCAGCAGCAGCAGGCAGGACCCGCCCTACCCCAAAGCAGCCCGGCTCTGGCCGGGGACTTTGCCCTGGCTGCGCAAAAGCTGCAGGCCAACAAACAAGATGGAAGAATTTCTGCAGCGCACCAAAACCAAGCTGGTAAGTTCTGCAGGACGGAGAGAGAAACTGCAAAGAAGTTTTTGTTTGTTTAATTTACTCTGCGAGCTCGTCTCCCTGCATGTCATATTGTTGCTTTTAAAAAAAACAAAACTTTTGGAAGGCATCCAAACGACCTGGTGTGAATCAGCATCTTGAATACAGAAAGGCCTTTGAAGGCTTTTGTTCTAAGGAGTCCAGTGCTTCTTAGGTGATCAAACAGCTGCACAGGAGATCGCAGTGAACCCCCCCACCCCAAGAAGTTGCTGTGTATTTGTTTGTAAAGCATCCTGTGCAGGGCAGGTGGCAAGTTTCGGGGCCTGTCACTTTCGAAAACCACAGACCTTTCACCCAGAGTTCACCCAGTACAATCCTGCGCACACTTACTCAGAAATTAAATCCCACTGTGTTAGTGGGGCTTACTCCCATGGTAAATATGTACAGGATTGAACCTATAATATTCTACCCCATAATAAATAGGGTGGAACTCTGAAGAAGTTTTTGTTTTTGACAGTTCAGGTCACAGAGAATAGATGTTAAGGAAGATGTTTGACAAATTTGGAATAATACAAAATATGATAAATGTATATTTCTATGCGTGGATGAAGCTTCTGGTGCAATATTTTGGCTGTTGTGAATGTTTTTAACTCAGAATTGTTTGTTGATTGGAACGAAATAAAAGTTTGGCCCAATATAGCCGTGTGGACATCTCTTTACCTCTAACATGGTTTGTGTAGTATTTCTAACTGCAATGGAAGTCTAGCAGATAATATGTACATTCTTATTATTTTAGCTATTTCAACTCAGTCTGAAGGAGGTGATACCTTTTAACAATGGTTTAAAACTGCTTTTCTGAAGATACAGCATTTAAATCCTGATTTAACTCAGCATAATAGAAGTGCACTTTCACCATTCCACATAGTCAAATACACATAAATGATATTCACTTAAAAAAGAGGGATGATGTTGACTACGTTCAGTTTGCCTTTACTGTATATTCAAGGTCCAGCCCTGTGGGTACAATTCACCATATCTAACCTTCCTTTCTTACTGTTGGTGGAAAATAACCATAAATTTGTCTTTTGCTACAAACTTTATTGTTTTGACACCTCTTTTTGGTTGCTGAAGTTGTATACAATGATTTTTTAAAGTCTCTGTTTAATACTTCCTATCAGGTTCTTCTTTCACTGTACACAAACAGCAATATTTTTTTTTGGCCTTTGTTAATATGCTACGTAGTTCTGGTAAACCTTCCCCCCCAAAGCAATATTTTAACACAAAGGAACATGATACTTAAAAATCTCTGATGACAAAGCACAGGGGGAAGTACATAATTTATGATCCACTTATCTCAAAAGCCTGAACAGAACAACAGACTGAAGCCTACATTAAGCATGATGTCATGGTCACATGGCAGGGAATGAGCCATGAAAGTCTTGAGGCCTGTTCTTAAAGTTCTGCTTCTAAGATCTTAGGCTGCTATCTTTGAGAGAAGCCAATGGCCAGATTTTCTTGGTTCTGGCTAACATCAGGTCTGCCCATGCCAGCTTTGGACCAAAGATAGAAGAGGGCATATGACACTGGATCTTTCAGTTAGTTACGTTGGTAGAAAAAGACTTAAAAAGGGATTTTTAGAAGCATAGGATTGTAGAGTTGGAAGAGACCACAAGGGTCATCTAGTCCAACCCCCTGCAATGCAGGAATCTCTTGCACAACATGGGGCTCAAACCCACAACCCTGAGATTAAGAGTCTCATGCTCTACTGACTGAGCTATCCTTCATGAAATAGCTGCACCCCCCTGCACTCATACCCCTCAGATATGAGGGATGCCAGTAATGCCAGTTCTGGCGGCAGCGCTTCCTCCTTATCCTCATCGTGTGGCAGCACAGTGGTGGTGGCCGGGCCGGGCAGCACCAAAAGGACTCTGGCTTCCTCGAAGGCCTTGCGGATGGTGCAGAGGCAGAAGAGTGAGCCTTGGTGGGCTCTTGCCCTCACTGAGCCCAGCCTGCAGCAGCCGCAGCCAGTCAGCCGAGAGTGGTACTTCATGATGAGTACTGACACCTTTTTTCCTAGAAAAAGGACACCGTCCTCGGTAGATCAGACATATACAAAGCAAAAGGAATGTGAATATTTCCAGGCATTGAAATGTTAAAACTGAAGCTAATGATACATTTTAGAAGAGCTCCTGAAAGTTCTCTGCAACAGTGAATTAAAGCACAATCATAGTGGATTATAAACTTGGTAAACTGCATTCAAGGATAAATTTTAGAAAAACTGCTGTATTAGTTTGTGAGCAGGAAATCGAAAAGTGCTGTGAAAGCTTAAATGCATACTGATTTATTATTGGTTTGGGGTTGAGCTTTCATAGTTAATGGACCAGTTCATACAACAGGACAGGCTGTGTAGACAGACATTCTCTTCTGATAAAAAAGCAAGACGCATTTGCAACCTCAGTGTCTTTTTCTTTTAAACTTCTGATTAGCTACTGATTATTTTAGAACAAGGATTGGGAACTAGTGGTCCTCTGCATGTTACTGGGCTTCAACTCCCATTAGCCCCGGGCAGCATGGCCAGTGGTTGGGGCTTGGGGGAGGGGGGGGAACTTCCCCATCCTTGAATAAACTACATGAAAAATCAGAAACATTTAAAAAGCAATATCCTAAATCAGATTTAAAGAACGACACACTTCAGTTCCTTCTGTTAAGAGAATATTATTTATTTCTCTCACCTTTCCCCTGAAATAGAACTCAGGCCGCTTTAAAAATTAAAATCAACAGTACTAATATAACAAACAACCATTGGTAATTGGACTAAAAGAAGATGATGACGACAAAAGAGAGTTGACTTTACTGGATCCCAGGGACAGCCTGGTGTGTTGAAGGCTTCCATGGGACCCATAACAGCCTGGATTTCACTGAGTGTATCTGTCATGCGCTGTGACAGGGGCCCAGCAACATGCAAACTCATTTTAAGGCTTTGCTGATTTTAAGGCCTAGATATTTTAACCTGAAGATGATTGATTGCAATTCCACCTTGTATTTCAACTAGAAGAGGTAGTTGGTGGAAAGTTTGTGTGTTTGTGTTAGTATTTGGGGGTGGAAGAGAGAGAAGATACAATTTTAAGCTCAAATATAAAGTTCATTGTTCAAATATCTGAGTCCAATTTAAAGTGCTAGTGCTTAATGCTAAAGCCCTAAATGGATTGGGACCCAGATACCTGAGGGAACACATCTTCCAGTACCAGCCTACCTGACCTATAGAAGCACTTCTCCAAGTACCTACTTTAACAGATACATTCTGTAATTACAGAGGAGAGGGTATTCTCTGTGGTGGCATCCCAACTTTGGAATGCTCTCCCTAAGGAGACCTGTTTGGCGCCACCAGTACAGTCTTTTTGGCACCAGAGTAAAACTTTCCTACTTTCCCAGGCTTTTTAGATGGGTTGTAAGTTGGACATTTTGTTCTTTCCTTTTATGACTTCAGCCTGCTATTTATTTTCTTGTTTGTTGTCTTATATGTTCTAGAAAGTATTTACAGACTTTTATATACTGTCCTGGGATCTTCTCATAAAAGTTGTTTAAGAAATATTTTGAATAAAAATAAAAGGACTATAGCTATTCAGATCTTAGCTCACGTCTTTCAAGGAAGTGGATGTATCTGAACTAAGATGTGTATGTCACGATTTGTTTTTAGCAGTTTTAGAAATAGTTTCCAAAGGCTGTAGGTGATTTAAATAACCTCTTGCCCTATTTCATTGTTTATAATTATTTTTATTATTTTTCCAAATTATTACAAATCAAACCGAATTACTTTAATAACATTTCTTAAAATCAGGTTTCCCGCTTTGTTGCAAACATATGTTGATCATTTCCTCCCATAGTTGCACCATTTCTTATTTACAGTCATACTTTGGATCTACTTCCACAACATTTGGAAACCAAAGCACGGCTTCTGATTGGCTGCAGGGAGCTCCTAACCCTAACCCTAACCCTAACCCCTAACCCTAACCCTAACCCTAACCCCTAACCCTAACCCTAACCCTAACCCTAAACCCAAACCCTAACCCTAACCCTAACCGCAACCCTAACCCTAACCCTAACCCTAACCCTAACCCCTAACCCCTAACGCTAACCCTAAACCCTAAACCCTTAACCTTAACCCCAACCCTAACCCTAAACCCTAATCCTAAACCCAACCCTAACCGTAACCCTAACCCTAACCCTAACCCTAAACCCTAACCTTAACCCTAACCCTAAAGGTAAAGGTACCCCTGCCCGTACGGGCCAGTCGTGACCGACTCTGGTGTTGCGTGCTCATCTTGCTTAAGAGCCGGGAGCCAGCGCTGTCCGAAGACACTTCCGGGTCACGTGGCCAGTGTGACGAAGCTGCTCTGGTGAGCCAGCACCAGCGCAGTGCATGGAAATGCCGTTTACCTTCCCGCTATAAAGCGGTACCTATTTATCTACTTGCACTTAGGGGTGCTTTCGAACTGCTAGGTGGGCAGGAGCTGGGACTGAACGACGGGAGCTCACCCCGCCGTGGGGATTCGAACCGCCGACCATATGATCGGCAAGTCCTAGGCACTGAGGTTTTACCCACAGCGCCACCCGTGTCCCACTAACCCTAACCCTAAACCCAAACCCTAAACCTAAACCCTAAACCCTAAAACCCAACCCTAGTAACGCTAAACCCTAACCCTATGACCCTACTACCCTATACCCTAAACCCCTATCCCTAAACCCTAAACCTAAGCCCTAACCCTAAACCCTAACCCTAAACCCTAAACACTAAACCCTCACCCCTAAACCCTACAACCTAACCCTAACCCTAACCCTAAACCTAAACTCTATCCCTAAACCCTAAACCCTATCCCTAAACCCTATCCCTAACCCTAAACCCTAACCCTAAACCCTAAACCCTAAACCCTATCCCTAACCCTAAACCCTAACCCTAACCCTAACCCTAACCCTAACCCTAAACCTAAGCCCTAACCCTAAACCCT